AAAACGCCCGACGCTGCTGTTTCTAGAAAGCCCACAGGAATATCGTTCATCGCGGTCGTGATGCGCATGGTATAGAACCCGAGCGCGGCCAACACAGCCATGAGAGCCAGTAGCGCATTGTTGTTTGGGCGGCCGACGTTTGCTGTTGATGTTGCCATGCTGGGCTGTTGCTGACACTCAGGACACCTGGTGTGTAGTGGCAGACAAGTTTGGTTTTATTCGTCGTCCCGCGTAAGTGCTCGGCTTCACTTGGCGAGCTTCGCCCTCCTATTAAACTCAATACGGAGAATACGGACACCTATTACTTGCGGGGCTTGCTTATGTAAAGCGGCTCAAGGCCCGGTGGGCCTATTGCTGCTTGGCCGTGGCTGTCTGAGCAACCTCTTCATCATCAGGCGATGCTGTAGCGTGCCGATGTTATCGCAAAGCAACGACGAGAAGATGACAGGACCCGGAGCGTTCGACGACGGTCCAATGCGGATGAAGGATGTCTCACGTGACCTAGTCGTGGCTTGACAGCTGTGTCATGTGACCCTAGAAGACTGCCGAGGTCGGTCCGCGCCGGACAGATCTATACGGGTTTTATCCGGAAATCGAACTCATAGGAGAGAGAAAAGTTTCCTGTCAAATGGTGCGAATGTCGTTTTTACTGTCACTGGAGTGTTGTTCCAGGTAAGTATACCGAATGTATGGTTCGGGCCTTCCGGCTAAGCGGCACACTCGATGGCCGGAACGTGTTTCAACGGCGTTGGTGTTGATGGCCATCCGGTTTTTGACGTGACGTCAATGCACCGCTTCATGATGTGCCTCCATCGATATTCCTTTTCGAAGAGCAACTTCCATGGTGCGAATAGAAGGAACAGCTGCATCTAACCCAAAAGAAAAGACGGCTCGCATGGCCTTGCGGGGTGATGTGCAGCAGTGGTACCTGCCAAGCGCCCAACGCGATGAAGGCGGACGCGGAGGTGCCGAGATCGCGTCCTCCACGCGACGCTAGGGGAGTGATGTCATAGCATCCTTTCATCGCCTTTTGTCGCAAGCTGGAGCAAGCACCACCAAGAATCTCCGTCTTATGCATGGACGCCACCACATCGAGTATGGCGCATCCAATTTATGATGCGCACTCCAGCGCTATTACGCATTGGCGCCCTCCAAGTCTCGGAACCTTGGCTGCCAGGGTTTGACAGCGCGTCGCGTCTTCCCTCTTGTATGCTTGTCTCTCTTGTCAAACCTTGCCTGCATCCTCTTCCTTACTCCCATTCACAACGATACCCCAGAGCCTCTAAAAGGCCCGAAAGTTATACAAAATGGTTGGAGGCAGACGCAACGTTCTCAACAGCCACGACAACAGCAACGGCAATGTCAACCGTCGCCACAATGTCGAACAGTTCAGCAAGTACCAGCGCGTCGACCTAGAAAGCGGATATGGAGCGATTACCCCCGTCAAGCCGAAGCGTAGATTTCGCGATGCGATCGAACAAACCGTCAAAGACAACCGCGCCAATGAAATGAAACAGAAGTTGATCGACAACATCGACCATGAAGCGCTCGAAATTTACAGGAAGAGTGATGAGAGCGTATGTTCCAAACGATCGAACTGCTCATACAGATGCTAACATCCACCCTCAGTTGAAATCTATCAAGAACAAGAAGGTACGCGGATTCTACGAGGAACAGAACGAGCGCCTAGACGACTGGGCCGAAGTCGACATGGTTGTTTCTTCACTCGCCGACGACATCGTCGATAGTATGAACCCGCGAGACGTCGATGGCGATGGCGTGGCTGAAGACCGGGGACCATTGGGTAACAGCGGAGAGGACCTCGAACCTTTTCTACCCGAGGAGGAGCGCAACAAGCGAGCAAAGTCCGCTAAGCATGCGAGATGGGCGATCAATGTAGGTCCCAAAATTGAAGCAAGCCTTCATAAGCTGACATAGTACAGATCAACGTAATCGTAAATATCCTTCTCCTCGCGGCCAAGGGTGTAGCAGCCATTTGGTCCAGCTCCCTGTCTTTGATCGCATCCCTCGTCGATTCGGCCCTTGACTTGCTCTGCACCGTCATCATCTGGACTACCAACAAGCTCGTAAGCTGGCGTGTGGAGGGTTTGCGGAAGAAGTTCCCAATCGGCCGCCGCCGTCTCGAACCAATCGGCATCCTGGTCTTTTCCATCTTGATGGTCATATCGTTCCTCCAGATTCTGCAAGAATCGGTCAAGAAGCTCTTGCCAAGTGGTGACCACAGTGTATCTCAATTGCCACCAGCTGCCATTTTCGCCATGGTCGCTACAATTGTCGTCAAGGGTACCATTTGGGTAGGATGCGCAAGGGTCAAGACAACACAAGTACAGGCCTTGGCCCAAGACTGCAAGACTGGTAGGCTCATTCCCTTCACCTCTTGGAATGCAATGACTGACAAAATCAGACGTTATCTTCAACACGCTCTCCCTCTTGTTTCCGCTCATTGGAGGCCACGTCGGCGTCTGGTGGCTCGATCCTCTCGGCGCGGCTTGCCTTTCGCTATTCATCATCTACGACTGGGCTTGCACTTGCTTCGAGAATGTCACCCGTTTGACCGGTGAGCAGGCCAGCGATCGTGTGGAGCGCAAGATGATGTATATGGCATACCGCTTCTCGCCCCTCGTCGAGGGTTTCAAGAGTCTCAAGTGCTACCATGCGGGTGATGGTGTCTGTGTGGAGATAGATGTGCTCATGAAAGAGGAGACGCCCTTGAGGAAGTGCCATGACATTGCGGAGACCCTGCAGTACTGTCTAGAGGGCCTGAACGAGGTGGACCGTGCTTTCGTCACTATGGATTGTGAGTATTCTGATCGAGAGAAGAGTGGTTGTGGACATAATGCTAATATCTTGCAGACACTTCCCAAGGTCCTACAGGCCACGCCGGCAGCTAGGTCTCTGGATTCGAGCGATTCGCATTCGGCGCCATCATTGGCTGGTCGCACAGCATACATGGCGTTCAGTCAGTATCGTACATACTTGTGTTTTTCTCATCATTTCCAGCGTACTAGCATTCGATTTTCCAATATTACAATCAGTACAACTTTACAACAACCGCTATTATTCCTTTACGTCATTGCTGTGTTTGCTGATCCACCCTATGACCTTTCACACCTCGCGAGAAGCGCGTGACGGTTAACACGCGGAGCTGATGACCTAATATCAACAAGTCCAGCCCCAATCCATTGTGCTCATTCACAGAGAGCCCACATTCGCAACCCTTACCACCCTCTCGCAATCCCCGTCTGCCTCCCAAGACACAGGTGCGAGCGCACCCGCACACGACTCAACCACACTTCTTCGCTGACGCCAGACTCTTCGAGAATGACCCCGGCCTTGCCCAGCAATCGCACCGATTTCCTTGCCCACGGGCTCGAGCTCGCCGAATGCAGCATCTGCAGAGAACCATTCGATAACGCTCACTGGCCGTATCAGATTCGCGAATGTGGACACATATTCGGCAGGGTCTGTCTTGAGGCGTGGCTGCGACAGTCGGACAGCAAGGGCACATGTCCGCAATGCAGAAGCGTCCTATTTCGAGCAATCTCCGCATCTGAAATTGCTGAGGTGCGAAGGGAGCGTTCCGAACTACGCGATCAAACTATGTCAGGACATAATCTCCGGCTACTAAACGTGCATGACAGGGAGGGGTTTTTGGTCGTGCTATGGACAGAAATAACAAATGCGTTTGAGCCAGATGTTCGAGAGGAAGATGAGAATGCATGGACCCCGCGCATCATCGGCCTGATTCAATACCTGCTTGAGGGGCTCGGTCTACCCAACCACCACCATGATCGCGTGGTCTTGTCTCGGGCGGTGCGAGAGACGAATGCCCGTGAACTCGTGTTATGGGATGTATCTGCAACCCCGCCGCTCGGCTATCAACCCATCTATAACCTAGCGAAACATATGATCGAAATTTCACGCATCTTCCCTCGCCAGACCATCCCCGATCCGATCCTTTGGCGCGCCATGATCATTTGTTATAAGGAAGGCCTCGAGAGTGCAGCCTGTCATTTTGAAAATGACAGAGATGGGATGTTCGGCCCGCAGCCTGACGCATATGAGCGGAACACTCTTGCATCGGCCCTGTATTTGTTCCTGGTCCTCATGGCGCAAGACTCTAAGCACAATCTCCGGCCGAACGACGATTACGACGCTGAAGACGTGGAGAGTTTGTTGCGAGTGATAGATATCAAGGTCACGTATGACGAGTACCCGCCGTTGCACAGCGGCAACATCTCGAGAGACTACTGTGAGAGGGTAGCTCGCTTTCATCATAAAGCGCAGATCAACGACCCGCAGACGACTGCCAGCAAAGAACTAGCTGATCCGCACACGAGCGAGGAACTCATTTTTTGCCATGTCAGGGACTTTTGGTTGAGCTCTAGGGGGTCCTGGACGGCCGAGACTCCTGACAGAGACGCGTACGATCCGACGGACTACGATAGACCATATGGAAGTGAATGGACATGACGATGGGTCTGGAGAAGATGATGATGGATCGCGCACTCCGAAGACGGTAGCAGACAATGTGACAGATGATTAGATGCGATATGAGATCGAAGGAGGTTCCATTGGGAGCGGATGACGATGCCGATGGACCAGACGCGGGTAACGACTTGGCCCAACAGGCGATTGGGAGAGCATGACAAAGGTCGCTAGAACAATTTATGCAGTATGAAGGGAGACATGAAGGTTACAAGCAGTATATTGGACCTCATGAGTAGAGGTAGAAGATCAGGTAGCTTTCATAGTGCATCACAATACGTCGTTACTGTGGCTATATCCAATTCTCATTCGCTGGGGTAATTTCTAGTTTAACGCAAACACGAAAAGCAAGGAAACAAAGCTAGGCAGATAGGAGGTCCTCGCCCGAAGACATGTCCTATGCCTATGAACTGCGCGGAAAGAACTACAAACAGAAAGGCCAACCAGAATAGAATAAATCCGTGGAGAGATACTGCCTTGATACCAAGAACTCAATCACGACTCCGTTTTACGCGCTCACTGCTCTCAGAGTCAGCAGACTCTCGTGCTTCCCTCTTCCTCGTCGCAGTACGCTCCTGCTCTTCACTGGGCTCAGCGGGCTCTTCTCGCATCCGCTTTTGAGCTTGCTCGTTGTCATCGTGCGGGATGTCAGCAATGCTGCGCTTTCCCTTAAAGGAAATCGCTGTTTCTACCCCACCAACGGGATCTGTGGCAGGGGGCTGGCCCAGAGCCTCGTTTTCAGCGGCCCTTCGACGAGTAATCTCATTTCTCATGTTGTCCCTGTGGCCCCAATACTTCATCTTGTTATCCATATGTTCCCGGTAGGTTGATAGGTTGTTCCGCCTCGACCGATTGTGGTGGTGGAGCTCAAAGTAGTGGCGCTCCTCCTTCTTCGCAATATCCTTCGTCTCGTCCCAGGTCAGGCCACCTTGAATGTTCTTCGCGGTGTACAACCCAAAATTCCTTTCTGCGATACGTTCGAAGAGTACCTGAAGATGCCTCTGGCGAATAGCGCAGCTGATCTTATCAGAGAGGGCTTCATTCTCAGCCTTCAGATCCTGAGCGGCCAAAGCTTCCATACACCTCCAGACAATCTCTTCGCTTCCAAGGGGACTCACGTCTTCGACGCGAGCTTGTATAATTTCGACGGTCTTTCCGACGTCTATCATCGGCTTGCCATTGCTGTCGCAAGCTTGGAGTTGGGGTTGTTTGGTGAGGTAATTCATCATGACTTCGATGTCTGATGATCTCTCGAATGAGATGTTGAACTGGCCTTCAAACGTGTCTGAGGCAGAGTTGAGTTTGTTCTGCTCGTTCTTGTTCATCATCTTTCTGCGTGCTTCGATCAGTAGTCGGATGAATCGGTCTTTGATCGAAGTCTCAGGAGGAGCGGAGAGACTAGCTGACTGCGCGGCACTATTGGCAGCAGTCTGGGAGGTGCCAATATGATTGCTCTGAGCAACCTTTTGGGCATATTCCTTTACTCTGTTGTATTCTGCATTAGTCATCAGCCTGTTCTTCATGGCGAAGTCGAGGTCATTGGCCAGCCCTCTCGCAGACTCTGCTTCGCGGATATAGTCGAAGATCTCGTCCCGAATTCGGTTCTTCTGCTTCTCCAGCACCATCTGTGGAAGAGCTTGTTGCAGAACGAGGTGAAGATCAGGAATTAGTTCTAGCAGGTAATTGACCATGCCATTCGACCAATGATTCCTTGTGTTTGCCTGGGTCCTGATTCTCGCTCGTGATTCAGTAGTGCTCTCAGGCGGGGGCGCGTCAACCATGTTCTGCTCCTCGGTATCCACGCGGCTAGTGACTTGGACATCGTCCATATCGTCTTGTACCACGCTGGAGATATCGCGAGAAGCTGGCTGTGACTCTATCCCGTCCATGGTCTGGCTGAACTCTGCCCGCATGTTTTGAGAGTCGACCAGACGAGAATGAGTAAGTTCTGGGATGCAGACTTCCATCGCTTCGGTTTGCGATGCTGCTCCAAGGACGATTAACAGCTCACTAGTACTGGCATCGCGGTCCGTGGTATCTGTTGAGTGTGTCGGTTGGAGAGTGGTGGGCTGGGTCTCATGTACACCAGCGGCGGCAACGTGGACTATACTGTTTTGGTCGTTGCCATCGTCGTTTGTGTATTCGGTAACAGGCGCATCTGCCGTACCGCCGTTACTCTGGGGGGCCCATGTAGGCTCAATGGTGAATGATTGCTCTGCCGATACTGCATCATGACAGACTTTGACTTCGGCAAGGGCGCTCTTGTCGTCGTCGATATCAGTTTGTAAGTTGGCGGAGTCTTCAACTCTGCCGATGGCTTGGTCAAGCTCAGGAGACAGTGACGCCTCCGTAGTGAAGGTGCTGTAGCTGCTGACCGACGAGAATAGCGACGAGTCGTCGGATGAATCGTCGGAGGATTCCTCGTCACTGGAGATGTCTGGTAAAGGAGTACTACTGGCGTACTCAAGAATGGATACCACGCGGGGTTCATGGAGAAGGATGCGCTCTTCAGCCTTCGAAAGTGACGGCAGAGGCTTCTTGCTCGCGACATCCAGATAATACTCGTCGAAGGTTTGGTGAGGCTTCAGAACTTTGAAGGCAGTACAAAGGTCCTCGAACACGTCTTTATGTTGCCCGGTAACGTTCTCGTACTGCTGGAGGTGTGACCGCGCGACAATAGCAGAGCGGCGTGATCTCTGGTTGCGAGAAGTCTTACGAGGTCTCGACCTAGGGGTCTATTTTCCGTCAGTCTGGTGATCGTTCATCACGCGACGCAAGACTTACGGTGTTGTTGTCCGCCGGTGATATCTCGGCGCGCATCGCTTCCTGAACTGAAGCAACGACGACCGGTATCATCTTAGCGAGCATCTGTTCCAGCGCGCCAGCCTCGTACATCGGGCGGAGCGCGGCGAGTAGACGGGAAACAATGCGTTCCTCCATGGCCTCCAGATACTCAACCAAATGAGGGGACAAGGGGCCGTCAGATGAGAAGACGGGGGCAGAGTTGGTGGTAGCCATTGCAAGAAGATACAGGTCGACAGGAAAAGAGGTGTCTGACAGAAGAAATGTGTGTAGTATTGCAAGAAAGTAGGTCAGACTCGCGGTGTGATGCGACTGAGCGGGGTATTGTGACTAGAAGGTCGTGAGAGCGACGCTTTGGCCAAGATATCGCGTGCGACAGGGACCTGGAGGACTGCAGCGACTGAATACCGACTTTCATTGAGCCAGTAACGTCTTTGCGTGACTGGGTCCAGGTGAATGCGTCATAATAGCAAAACGTGCGAGCGTGATCTACCCAAATAGGATATTCCAGGCGTAAAGATCCAGCAACGTCCAATTAGAGGTAGCGCTCGTAGAAATTCTAAGAAGTGCGAGACACGAAGCTATGACTTGTCATCGACAATAGCAAGTCACCATACACAAGCGGCCATAAAAGCGGTAGCTTCAAGAAAGTGAAAGAGGAAGGGAAAGATACAGACACATGTCTCTGACGTCAAGCCTTAGGATACACCGCGAACCCACAAGCAAAACAGCGCTCGAGAATCTCGTCTTTACTCTTTTCAGGCAGCCCTGAGATGACTGAAGGGTAGCCTCGTAGTGGAGATAATGAAGACGACGAGTTGTAGCTTATAGGATGGTAGATACCATACTACTATTCTTGATCTGATGACCGACATGCTGGAGTACGAAAGAGAGTGCGATAGACTTTGAAGACACGACCCGTAAATGACATGAAATGAGAATGACAACATGTAAAGATGAACAGTACAGGTAGAAACTTCTCCGCTCACACACCTGCGTATGGGTGGCCTTGGAATGATTGTGGCCAGGCAGCTAGGATTCTAAGCACCTCCATCAAGATATCTGGGCTTAGACTCTCAACGGTGATCCATCGGCATCATGCCCTTCCTCTCCCGCTGCCGGAAAATGTGTGCTAAAAGACGACGCGTGCGACCCATTGTCACTTCGCTTACGTCAACTCGATCATTCGGACATTCTCAAGATGGAAATAGCGGCAACGTTTTGTAGGATCTGGGGATGGAGTCGTCGCGTGAAAGATATTCGAGATGGGGTGGCTGGAGAGACGCGTTGGAGTTTCGTTGTGGATCGAGCATTACGTCATATCTGAGTAATCATGCGTCCGCCCCTGACGCGCGACGCGACGCGACCCTCATCCCACCGTCCATCACGATGCACGTCGACCTACAAACCAAATAGACGACTAAGCGCGCTTCTGTGCAAAGATACTCATACTGTTCGCGAATTTCCGCAGACTCTTTGGCCATCGCGTCGTGCCTGCTTCACTGCAGCATCCTTTGCCCCACCCCACGTTGATCATCAGTATAGCTTCGTAAAGCCTACAACCTCTGAAGTATAGGATTCAAACGATTTGTCTAACGTCTAGCTTTGGAGTCGGACTTCCTGTGTAAAACGGTGTTGAGAGGCTAAACATAGCGTTTCGGGCTGCCGCATAGGCTGGCAGGTGCTCGTCTCCATCTCCACGCAGCAGCCACGTCGATGTGTCAGCCAACACCGCACGGTATCTTCACGATCTAGTACTCCGATACACAATATCAATTTGCGCGCCTTATCTGACCTATCTGGTGTTGGCAGCCATACATGGCCAACACGTAACACAAAAATAGCGGTATGCGGTGACGCTAGACCAAATCCAACGATGCTTACATTGCGCCGCTGGCTTCAACATCACACACTCCGTGCGGTCGATGGAGATGTCGGGGCTTATCATCTACGAAGTATAATGTGGTGTGTGGAACACTCAATCAAAGCTTTAAGTCCAGTTACATAGCAATCTCGACAAGATGGTGAACGTCACCAATGCCAACGGCATCACCGGCGCCAACTTCGACGTATTCGGCACTAATCGCGTTCTTCCTCGGGCAATGACAGCTTTCACAGCCATCGCGTGGTACAACTCGATTGAGCTCATCATCCTCATCTTCGTCGTATTCAGACGGTACACTGGTCTATACTTCTGGAGTTTGATAGTCAACACACTCAGCATTGTGCCGTATGCGACAGGTAGGCATAAACTTCTAGACTGGTAGAAGTGATGGCTAACTGAGTCTCCAGGGGCGTGGATGAAACAAAACAGCGTTGCGCATGACCCTCGCCTTTACAATACGCTCCTTACGCTCGGATGGATATTGATGGTACCCGGACAATCCATGGTTCTGTACTCGCGCCTACACCTGATATCGCCGAACCTCAGGCTTCTACGGTTTATCTTTTGGGCCATCGTTGTTTCAGCAGTATACCTTTGCATGCCGACCGTAGTCCTGAATCTACGATTATTCACTAACCACCCAGAGCGATATCTCCGCGGCTACATGGTCATGGAGAAAATACAAATGACTCTCTTCACCATCCAGGAGATCTCGATATCCTGCATCTACCTATGGGAAACCCGCAAGCTGATGCGCGTAATCTTTGACGGAAAGGCCAGGAAGTGGATGTGGCAGCTCGTCGCAATGAGCATACTCCTGCTCATACTGGATATCGCGTTACTCACAACGGAATTTTTGAACCTCTACATGATACAGACGACCTTCAAATCACTTGTTTACAGCTTCAAGCTCAAGATTGAGTTCGCAGTACTCAGTCAAATTGTTCGCGTCATCCAAGATCGTGCGCACCCCAGCCGCTCAGACGCAACGCTTCCGTCGGATCTGGAGCGCCAACTCAATATCCGAAAACCGATGTCCAGTCAGGTGTCAGAGGTGGAGAGCTTGCAGCATAACGTGCCACTTGAATGGCGCTTGTCAAGAGAGGCCACATCTTTTGTTTCACCAGTCGCCCTCACTATGGCGAAGGAATCTGAAATTAAAAGCACTAGATGTAGCGTCGTGTCTATAGACGCGATGTATCCTGGGAGATTGGGTTGATAGCGCGATAGGCGCCTTTGGTCGAGAGAACGAGGAAGGTTGCTCAACGCAAGGATTACGACTTGGAACTTGCGGCATTTACGTATAGAATGCTGTTGTATCGGTGAGCATTGGTGCGCGCCCTGCACCTGTTCTCAGCACTGGTTTCGCGTCCTCCCATGCGCGAACGGATCAGACCGCATTGCGCTTCACGCCTTCGGCCTTAGCAATGCTTCTTCGACACTATCAGGTTAGCATACCGCGGCCAAGCTCATTCTCTGTGCGGCGAGTTACGTTCTCGATTTGAGCAAGCTTGGTGAAGCTCCAGTCCGACAAATCCGTAGCCTAAGACTTCTTAGTGAGAACACAAACCATGCACAGCTAAAGCAGGATGTCGAAGAGCTTTGTCTCGACAATATGGCAATTGGCGCGCGTGAGATCGCAGTGTATCCAGAGAGTTGGTGGTACTATAAAAGGAGGTACGACGGGTATGTGCTTATGAAAAGGTCGGACACATTTTGAAGGAGAAATGCTCCAGTAGACTGATGCTAAGGCTCTTCACGCAAGGTGGTGGCTTTAATGGAATCTTGGATTTGCTACGTATTGGTGGTCCGATGCTGAACCTCGACGTAACTGTGATGATGAACTTTGGATAGCGTATACGCATTCTTTGCGGCGTGTGAGTCTTGAGACTCGAACGTTGAGAAACGTAGCCATGCATGCAGAACCAAAACTTCTCTGGCAGACCAAGTGGAAAGAAAAGAATAACCATCGCCACGATTAGCAAAGTACCCCTGCACGTGTGTGTAGATGTCTCGCACGAGCTGCATCCCTCCGTCGACCAACTTTTGTGTTCCCAGCTTCTTTTCCCGCTCAAGCCAACTTGAACACACCACCATGCCAGCCATATACCCTCTGAAGCCTCCTGCCAAAACGCCGCGCCATGATGTAGGGGATGCTGCTATCGGGATGTGGCTCGTGAAACTGGATGCCACGAGCGACATCCGTAGCAATACTAGGAGTAAACTGCCAGGCTGAGCCCTGGAGCTTTTCGGCAGCGAAGCCAGCCCGAATCATGGCGCGTTTGAAGTCGTCCCACTTGATTGCCTTTGGTGTCTCTCCAGAATCTGAAAGAGGGACATGGAACAGGGTCCTGAACACCTTGTGGGCACGTTTATCGACGCAGTAGACTCTCTCGGGCTTCTTCTCCGGGCTTGGGTGGCCGATTTCGTCAATTTGAGTCGTCGGCGTGATATCTAGAGTAGCATGGTGGCGCTTCTTTCGCTTGGCACTACCCCGTGTGGCCGGCTTATCGAAGGTTCCGGTAATCTGTAGTGCAATATCGTGGTCGTAGTTGCTGATGGCTTTGTACTCGATGCTTTGAAAGCACTCTGTGGGAACGCTTGGGCCAGTCCACGGAGCAGTTCGGCGCATCTCACCTCCTTCCAGGAGGCATCGACGTACCACTTCATCTTGCGCAACACCCGTCCTGCGTTCGTAGAAAGAGTCGATACAACTCCAGAACTTGTCAAGATTTGACTCCGAGTCTCGCATCGTCTTCACGCTCTGAGCATTTCGCGGCTTATCGATGGGATAGCGTAGCTTTCCTCGCGCTGGGTTGACCAAATAGGCGGGTATGTTATAAGCATAGATGTAATAAGCCCAATTTATCGAGAAGTTTCCCTTGTTCGACTCTGTGGCTTTCATACCGGATGTGCAAAGTAACATCCAGATCTCCGATGACTTCTTCCATAACTCAATCTGATGAAGGCACTCTTCCACGATGGAGAGCTGGCTGATGAGAGACGACAAAGGGGCTGTAAGCATAGCGCGCGCGCTTTGATGTTTGCGTGAGAGAGTGTCTAGACGGTCCAATGTGGCGTGTAGATCAATGTCAACGTTGATGTTCTCACCCCCGGACATCTCTGCAAAGCCATTAATGTTCTTCCGAGAGTCGTTCTGACTGAAAGCCTGCAGACGATGAAACACACTCAGCATCCATGCTTCGCCCTCCTTTGGAAGTGTGTATCCTCCTGCGATGGCGATCTGTGTATATGGGCCATCTCCTGATCCAGAAACTATGCGTTCATAGTAGTTCCGCATCGTGGGTGACGCCATACTGGTGCTAGTGAC